CACAGCAGAATGTTTACATCATAAATCATTTACCTCAAAGTAGAGATTTCAAAACAATGAACTCAAAAAAGAAATATTTAGCTCAAATATAGCCACAAACATCATTTAACTGGCTTTAGCTCATTTGACTTGCAGCAGCCATTGAAGAACAGTTTACTCATAAAAATCATCACAGAACAGTTGATTGAAAGTAACTATTATGAAAGAGTTGACTCACAATGGTCAATGTGAAACAATTGACTCCAAGTAACTATTGAAGAATATTTGACTTTTGAGTAACCGTTGTAGAATATTTGGACTCCAGCAAATAGAATGGACCATTCAATATTTGAAACCATGAAAGAGCATGTTGGAAGACTTTAGAAGAACGTTTGACTCTCGTAACCATGACAGAACTCTGACTGACACCATGCAACAATAATGAAATATTTGACTTGAAGTAATACCGGTAGAACATTTGACTCAAGTAACCAGTGTTTTTTGTGTTCTGTCCCGTACAGCAGAAAACTCTTCCATAAGGGACGACTTCTATCGATTTACCAACAAAATCAGGAGTAAGTTTGAGAAAGGCAGACCTAGACAATGTATGGAAATAGACTAAATCAAAAACACCATGCTTTATACCAGTAAATTGGATATCAGTGTCCCATGCTTCCCCTTCCCACACCAATTTTAAGTTTCTAACAGATATTGAGAAATGTAAGCAAGTTCTTTTCGCGGAGACAGATGGTCTCAGAACATGACTAATTATCAATTTCCTGTTTAGTGTAGAAATTTCTGGGAAAAGAATAGCAGAGCTCTCAATATTCCTACTGTTGTTTCTTTGTGTGGTTAAGTACAGCTTGTTGTAGTTTTCAAGTTTATTAGTACTGTAATGGCAGAGACTTTGAAATCTACATGGAATCGTACAATGTTTTTCGAAATTGGAAAAGAGTTTTATTCTGAGACTTGTGCTATTAGACTTCTTGGAGTTGTTTAATTCGTTTTAATTAGTTTTGGAATGCCTCTTGTAAAAGGTCACATTTTCATCTCATTAATTTTGTGAACAATTGGAAACTAGGTGAGGGAAGTGAGAAGGATTTGTGAATGAAATTTTGCAATTGACTGTCCAAACCTGTTTGAAAATGATTAAAGGATTTATGATGATGTTGTAAATGATCGAACATTTTACAATAATCATTTTAAAGGGCATGGTTTGAAATGAATTAACTTCAAGGAAGTGTTTTAATTAAATCATAGTTTCAATTAAGAGAAAAAGTATTTTAAAAAACCTGTTTTTGGACGATGGAGGACATAACCTCTTGTAGTCAAGTCATACTCACAGATCAGTGTTAATGATTTATTTTGTAGAAACCTTGATAACAGTTTATGCAAATGTCCACAGTAACTATACCTCAAATAGATTTGTGTTTCTATGTTCAAAGGTCAAGGGTCAAGGATATATTACCATGTACAGAATTTTATCAAACAGTATATACATAGAAGTAAATGGTATTCATGTTTTACAGATGTTTTTGGTTTGTTGTCTTATTCAAGGTATTGGGATGAATGAACTTATTAGAAGGGTTTCATTAGAGGTTATGAATATTAATGAAGTCATTATTGAATATTCATTAACTACAAATCAATTATCTAGTATTGATTATTCATGAGTCAAATCATCTCCCACAGAACATTAGTATACCTCATCATATCTTGATAGCAAATTTATCTTCACATACGACTGACAGAAAATCTGTGAAACTGACAAATAAGTTTTGAAATAAATTAATTGTCAACTTTTTTAACAGTATAAAGAAAAGCAAATGCTTTAGTGATTTCAAAAACATTGGAACTTAGTTGGTTTGTTCTGTCATAGACAACATTGTCTTGGTCTGTCTTTTTCATTGGAATTACAGTCAAAACTGTGTTTGATTGTGACTTGCCACACAGTGGTTTAAATGTTGTAGATTTTATGTCATATTTCTAAACCTTGTGTCTGACAGGCAATGAGACTATGGTATTCATAAATTATTAGTGAAAGAGGTGATTTCATATTTATCACAAAATCAGTTGGTTAAAATATTGATAAAATTTAGCAAAATATAACTTCAATAGAAATATTTTGAAAGACTTCCTTTTGGAATTTCCACTTCAATACGTTTAGATTAGCTTCTGTAAGTGTGGATTTGATCGAAAACAAACAAGTTTACTTTTTGAACAGTATTACTTTGTTCATATTTAAGAAATTGTTAGATTCCAAGGAAAGAGCAAAATGTTTTGCCATAATTTGAAAATATTAAAAATATTGAATATTTTCATCTATGTCAATGATACCACGGGAGGAATTGTGTAATGAAACCAGAACATTTTATATGAATTAAAGATTGTCTACATCTGGTTGTTGAATAAGTAAAAGAACTAGAGCACATTTTATAGACTAATATGACAAAAACTGATGACATTTTTTAAACTACAGGACAGATGGCATTTTGATGACTGTATTCATAACACTGATATTACTTTATTGCAGTCATTCACTGATGTTTGGTTATTACGTTTACTGGGAGTTCATGACTTGCCATTAGGATACGGATATGCAGTATTGCAAAAAAATGAAAATGTGTTAAAAAAGTATAAATTGGAGTGGATTTGTTTGTTGAAGGCAATATACCATCTGTTTTCACTGACTGTCAGATACTTGTTTTGTAATAAGCCGTAATATCTATTTTCATTGTTCCATGTGTTGGCATGAGTTAATGATTTTTATCAGCACAAGTGTTGTAATCCCAACAGCCAGATAGAATTGTGATTGATAAGAGATATTTTGTTTTTTAAAAATATGAACGTTATTGTAGATTTGAGATCTAGTTGAAATCTCAAAACGACATATTTGGAACCAAACCCTATCTCCTCTACCTGGGAAATCCCCTTCCATGCCCAGCAGTCAATTTCCCATCCACCGAGTACACTCTGCCCTCAGACATGCAGAACGAGATATCAAAATTGTTTTCTGAAATTTCAAAAAGGTCCTGTCAGTGATCTCAAAATACTTGTGTTGATCAAGTTTACAAACATATGAGCCTTACAACTTGATAGTGTGTATTCCTCACTTTGCATCCTCATTTAAGCTGAGAGTTTAAATACAAATAAAGTACCAGCATGAGGGCAAAAATGTCTCTACATTTGAGAACACAATATCAATATAATAGTTCACTTTGTTATTAGTGTAGATTTAATTTGATTTAATCCCTTTCTTTAGAAACAATTTTAAAATTCCAAATTTGTACTTTCATTAATCTTGTGTGAAGGGCACTTGAAACCACAGCCAGAATATAATTAATTCTCTTACGGAAATTTTATGTAAATTTGGTCTCGGCACTGGCAGTGTTTGAGGGTTGGGGGGAGGGCTGGTAATCAAATGTAATTGTGTAAGTGCAGTTGCTCTGATTAAAATTTCACTGAGAAATGAATCGTTTCTAAGTGCAGTTCAGAATTTAATTTTCTAGTGTAATCCCTTGTCAATAGTACTTCTTCAGTTCCACACTGGATCCTGCATCATTGATACTCACTTTTTCATGCTTTTGACAGGTTAGTACATTGTGATTAGAAAGTTTGATTAGTCACAAGAAAAAGTCAAAAAGAACACAGAAAAGAAAAAAAGTGCTTGCTACAAGTGTAGAAATTGATATTAAGAGATGTGATTAGTATTCAGATTTAAATCTCCCCCTCCCCACCCCAACCCCTACCCACCCCCCACCCCCTTTTTTCCCATGTAAATACTCATTTTTAACCATAAGTAATAGCCATAATGGCCTGTGCTATTTTGGATCAAATACAAGTGTGGAATGTTTTACCTGTACCTAAGCAATCATAAAATAGATAGCTTCATGTAGTCTGAGGATAAAATCATTGGTCCATCCAAGTGTTTCTAAATGATAGTTTTCCCATGCCTTCGACCTGAGAAAAGTGATAATATTTTAATCTTTATTGCTGTTTCATGGCGGCATTAGGTGAGAACACAACCTTATACAGTAGCTAGGTCAAATGTTTATTGCTAAAATTGTGGGAAAAAATAAACACTGTCACCATCTCAACCTGCCTAACACATTCAGGTTTAGCAATCAGGGACCACAATTTATTGAAAGGAAGCTTTTTAAGGGGATTAAAAAAGGAATCATAGATAGCATCATGCAGGAACCGAAGGGAACCACAAAGAACATTGAGGGATTTATAAACAAACTTATAGGAACCTCATGACTAGGCTTCAGGCACATGATGAAACTCCAGGGGACATAAGGGATAAAGGGAGATAACTTTTTGTTGTCCAGTATAGATAATGAAATTGATTAGAGAATAACATAATGTGGAGAAAAAAATGACAGTTAATTTTGTAGATGACTCTTTTGCTGTTGTTTAGATGTTTTTATTATAAGTTTCTCAGCAGTAGTTTTGTTCATGACCAGCACTGCAATAAAGCTTACTAATGACACTAAGTGACGTTACTCAGATCTCTCACAGCAATGTCTGTTGAACTGGTGACCCCAGATCACTCACAGCAATGTCTGTTGAACTGGTGACCTCAGATCACTCACAGCAATGTCTGTTGAACTGGTGATCCTAGATGACTCACAGCAATGTCTTTTGAACTGGTGACCCCAGATCACTCACAGCAATGTCTGTTGAACTGGTGACCCCAGATCACTCACAGCAATGTCTGTTGAACTGGTGACCTCAGATCACTCACAGCAATGTCTGTTGAACTGGTGATCCCAGATCACTCACAGCAATGTCTTTTGAACTGGTGACCCCAGATCACTCACAGCAATGTCTGTTGAACTGGTGACCCCAGATCACTCACAGCAATGTCTGTTGAAGTGGTGACCCCAGATCACTCACAACAATGAGAAAAGTTGTGATGGTGTGCAATATTAAAGTAGAAAATCCAATGCAATAGAGACTTGTATGCAAATGAATCAATCTGGGAAACAGTTACATTTGATGGATATTTTATTTCAATAATGCTCACCACTACAACCTTCTGCAGTCTTGTGGTTGTTGTCAACAATGCTTTTGGTATAACCCAGACCGTTTTTTCATTGATCTCGTTTCCAAATGCACAATTTTTGACAGCAAAAAGACCCATGATTACCTTAAAAGCTTAATGTCCACATTCATTGAAAAGTTTTTAAAAAAGGCAAAATACAATTAGGTATAAAAAACAGAACAGCATATTATGAGAACTACTTATGTTCAAATTTGAGGACAGTGGTGAAAAACGGGGCTGGACATCAGTGTTTTCATATGTTGCTGTCGTGTGCATGTCCATGCATGTTTTATTGTGATCCAATCAAGGTATTCCATGTTACATGAACATCTGAGTTATTTTTCGGTGTTTTGTATATTTTCAGATCCACCTCAAATCACACAAGCACCGAGGAATCAAAAAGTCGCTGAAGACTCTATCATCAGTTTCTTCTGCAAAGCCTCTGGAAATCCGCAACCTCGCTTTACGTGGGAGCGAGATGGCAAACGGATTAATCCAAAGCGGACACGTTACTTTATTTATGATATGCCACATGGAAGTGTTCTAAGAATAGAGCCTGTAAAAGCTAGGAGAGACCAAGCAACATTCTCATGCATTGCGGACAATGGTATCGGAGTACCAGCTCGAGCCAACTCTACGCTGAAGGTCTATGCAATGAACCGGGACAAGGGTAGGTAACCCTAACTGCATGCACCTCTGCTTAACATTCCAATTATTTTCTTGTGAGCTAGGGACAAGGTATAAACAGTGATATTTCTCCCCAAATAAACCTAAGATAAAAACCACTATATTTATGAAAGCTGTTAAAGTCATCCCTAGGTTTCTCTTGCGCAGTTATTTAGCGACCTGCAATTTTGCGCATCTTGCGCTAACCTGTTGCTTTAAAGTAAAATTGATGAATATGGAGGTAATTTTTCTTCTTGTTGAAGGTGATAGTGATCATTATGTACTGTAAAATATCAATTCTCAGTATAAAATAGAATTTTGTAGAATTTACTTTTATCAACAAGGGGAGATAATCAACAAGGGGAGATAATCATGTCTCCATCAGGGACTTGATTCCTTCTGTTATGATTGTGATGAAATCTATAGATTCATAGAAGTTGAAGGCAGCAATTGGATGTGATGTTTGGTCTTTGTTAACTTTTGTTATGTCTGTTTCCTCAAATTGAAATCATTTGATGTGATGTCTGTTTCAGAAAGTTCAAATCGTCTGATAGAAAAATGTCTGTTTCTACATGTTCGATCGTTTTGCAATTGTCCATTTTTGTCATTTATATCCATTGATTGTGTTTTATCTGCCTTATAAAATTCCATCAGTGCTTAAGCGAAAATAGCTTATTTCTGTAATAAGTTGATGTTGAGATACTGGGAATTACTTACTTCTGTAGTGAATTGATGTTGAAATACTGAGAATTACTTATTTCTGTAGTGACTTGATGTTGAGATACTGGGAATTACTTATTTCTGTAGTGACTTGATGTTGAGATACTGGGAATTACTTATTTCTGTAGTGACTTGATGTTGAAATACTGAGAATTACTTACTTCTGTAGTGAATTGATGTTGAAATACTGAGAATTACTTATTTCTGTAGTGACTTGATGTTGAGATACTGGGAATTACTTATTTCTGTAGTGACTTGATGTTGAGATACTGAGAATTACTTATTTCTGTGGTGACTTGATGTTGAGATACTGGGAATTACTTATTTCTGTAGTGACTTGATGTTGAGATACTGAGAATTACTTATTTCTGTGGTGACTTGATGTTGAGATACTGGGAATTACTTATTTCTGTAGTGACTTGATGTTAAGATACTGGGAATTACTTATTTCTGTAGTGAATTGATGTTGAAATACTGAGAATTACTTATTTCTGTTGTGACTTGATGTTGAGATACTGAGAATTACTTATTTCTGTAATAACTTGATGTTGAGATACTGAGAATTACTTAACTGTGACTGTACAATCATATGCTGGGAAATATGGAATGACAAATATATTTCAGTTGAAATTTCACTGGCATTTAAATTGAAGTAAACGATTTTGTTCTCTCCAAAATTATCAATATAGATGTAATATTTTGGGTGTTACAGGACTCCTTTACTTTCTTGTAGCAAATACAATAGCACACAGAATTACTGTTATATTGATAGGGATATACTGGTAATGGCTATCAGGAGGCTGATCCAACCTTTGCTACTACTTCGACAGTTTAATGAAGTCTTTGACCAGCCGTCCATACTCAGGTTTTATTTAGATATACCCCGCCGCAGGATAGTACATCCTGTTGCCGGTATAGTTGTCTAATTACAATCGTATTGACTTAATACAAGATAGTAGCCAGTCGTGCAATCCCGTTCCTACGTGCTGCATTGCTGGCCGACAGGGCTAGGAATTACGTTGGACATTCCACACTCGTGTTGGCTCTCTATGCCCAGTCAGGTGGCTTAACATTGATGGGGAAAACAAAAATGATCAATATCCATACCCCCAGCGATTCCATGTTCGAAACAACATGCAAATGAATACAATACCAGGCTAGAGGTCGGCCAGTCATTTTCATGCTTAAGGAAAATTTATTCTGATTTGTGATTTTTTGTTTGCCCCCATCTTGCCATCAAACATTTTTAGAATATCTTTAGGAGACTTAAGATGACGGAGCTTCTAGAATCAGTGACTGTGATAGAATGCTGGGATAGTTTTGCCTCTAGACCTCAATCCACATGAGTGTCATGCATATTTTAATTGTTCAAGATTAGTTGTCTCCCCTGTGGGAAATCTTCAATTAAGGATTTTCGCAGAACAATTTATTAAGCCTAATGTTACTGGAAAATCAATAAAATTTGTCATCAGTTAAAACTGAAATAAAAACATGATTCCATAAAACCATTTTTTAAATATGCATTCTTCAGTAAAGGTGCAATTGTTTGTGCCAAATCAGAATTTCATTAACCTTCTAAGTAATCGGAAAAAGAAAGCATTCAATTTCATTTTAATCTATCAATGATGATATTTGAGTCTAGAATAATGTTTTTTCATTAATTTCTTTTTTTTTTTATCATTGATTTATGGTTCTCAAGAGGGTGGAAATCTGTATCCTGCTCCTTTCTAAATGGTTGAGTGTGTTTATGGGGAAGGTTAATAGTAGCTCAAGGTAAACTTTACAAAAAGGACATGATTACAGGGACATTGAGAAGTCGAGAGGAGGAGAGTATTGGTGGAGGTGTGCCTAGGGCACTGTCTTTCTCACAAAGGATTAACAATGGTCAAATTACTCAGTTAGGTAGGGAGATCAGTCTGAATGAGGCTTTGTCCATAGAGGACAGGTAGGTTTGACCTATGTAGTTGCTATGACATTGGGGCGTTACTTCCAAAGGTCATTGACACCGCAGACGCAGATATCAATCTTGGGAAAATATGAAAATTATGGATTTTTGTCTGAAACTTTTAATACCTTCTATTTCTGATTGTTACTTGTAGTGTAGATAAAGTTTCCCATTAGGAAACCAGTTACTGTTCATTCTTGAAACAATTAACCTCTCAAATTGTATTATAGACATAACCAGACACGGTATTGATGGCAAAGAATTACCTCAACATTTTGATCTTTAATCTACGTTTCAATGCTTAATGTCTTGTTAATTATCTGGGAAAAGTGTAGCAGTCATCAATAATATTTTGTAATTCTCATTTAAAAGCCTCTGATGAGTATTTATATATTTTTGTTTACATTTCTAACACTCAAGGTGTATTTTTTGAAATTGAAAATCAAGTGTTTTTCCATGATGTAAGATGTAAGATCTTCGAAGAGTAAAAAAATTTTGATTCACCCACCCCTAAACCCCCACCCCTAAACCCCCACCCCTAAACCCCCAACCCCACCCCTCAAGATTTGGTATGATTTCTAATGATTCAGTGACATTTTTTCACTGACCTAGCTATCTATTTTACATAGATCATCATTTTTATGACTTTTAATATCAGCTCCTAAACATTTCAACACTCATACCTTCTTTAACATCCCATCCCAGACCCCCTGTTTACATATTTGTGGTTGACACTCCATCTCTCACTGCACACTAGGGCCTAGATTTGTCATCTTTTTCAAAAATATATTCATTCCTTCTTTTTCTAAATGTTTAAATATCTTTTCATGTATTAAAACACCTGACTGATTGTGGTTGGTTTGAATCCAATCATGAGAATATCTTCTTTTGAGATTTTGTAATTTTTTGAAAATGACATTAAGTGATACACATATTTGAAAGCAGGGGATCTCAGTATATAAGTAGTCATTGTCACCTACAGTACAGGTATTTTACCTTGGGAGACACACTAACATAGTTTCTCCGTCATCTTCTTGTCAAAGTAAATCAAGTGTATGTAACTCTCTAGTCAAGCCTACCATTTTGACAACATCCAATTTACAATCTACACTGAAGGGTAACCTACCTACTCTGAAAGATAAAAGCTATACCTGGTATTTGAATTTTGTATTAAAACTTTATCCTAGATCTTATTCTATGCCTGTTAAAGATGTGATATAAATTCAATTTTCGCCAGCCCAAAGATCACCAGGTGCTCAATGGATTCCACAAAAATGTAGCACCATTTCTGTAGATGTTTCTAAATGAAATCAATTATCAAATTTTGATTTTTTTTGTAAAAATAATTGATTCTTTCAGAATTGAAAGAAAAATTTAACTTTTTTTCATTTGAGCCATATCTTTTGTCTGTAATGTAAATAAGATGAAAATGCTGCATGTTCAATGAATGAAATTTGGTAGCATTTAATTGGTAGGAAGGAAAAAATAAGTAAACATTGCTATAGTTTCAAATGAATCGGCCTTAATTTCTGTGAGGCAGCTGAACATCACGAGACGCCTTTCTAGTGATTCTGTTGTTGTTTCCTTTTATGTTTTCTGCAGAAAAGTAGTCCCCAAGGCTATCTCTCCGAGGCCCCACACATGAATCACACAAACACATTACAATGTCTGCTGGGTTCCAGTGTGTTTAGGAATTAGTCTACATACACACAAGGAACTTTTTAGAATGATGAGAAAGATATATGAAATTTCATTTGCATGTTTTTAAATTCATTTTCGTTAGTCACAAGGCCTTTATTCCTGACCTAGAAATCTACAGACCTGAATCAAATAATTTTGAAATTTTTAGTAGTTAAAAATTTTTGTCCCATATGATGAAATGTTGTTACTCCCCTAAACTGGTCTTTCATCTTTATTCAAATTTTTTCTTAGATATGAAATGACAAGTAATTTCACATGGTTATTCATTGTTTCCAGTCCTAAATTTTTCTTTTGAAAACAAACTTCAGATTTAATTTGATTGAATGTCAAAATTTCATTATGTCAAAGTATAGAAAAATTTAGATTAAAAAATCAATTTCAGTTTGCATTTACTTTATTTTGACCTACATTTTTAAATATTCTTTATCGCTAAAGAGACCTCCAATAGGCAGAAATCGGGAGTTCAGAAGGGAACTCTTTTGTGTAGTTATATAGGTGCCATTGAATGAAATAGATTTTGACTGTCTGAGAAACCCTTGGGGTGCCTCTGAGATTGCCCGGTGGAATTGTCTTCACTTTGATAAGGTAAACTTACAATGCTTAGTGCTAGAAAAACAATTGCTCATTGCAAAACTGCA